GCGGGGCGGCGGCGAGGGGCCGGGCGCTCCGTCACCGCCGCGGGGGCCCTGCGGGAGCGGCGCCGGGGCCGAGGCGGGGCCGGAGGAGCGGGGCGGGTCCCGGGGGCTCGCGGCGCGCAGGCGGCCGCGTCCCGGCGACAGCCCCGAGAGCGGCGGGGCGGGTGGGCTGGACGGCGGAACGGCCGCATCTTTGCCCCTCGGCGCTCCGGTGCCGGTAGCTGTTCGCGGCGCTCAGGTAAGGGAGCGCGAAGCGGGGGTCCGCCGGAGGAAAGGGAGGGCGGAGAGAAAGGAGCGAGCGGCGGCGGGCTGGGGTTCGGTGGTCCGGGCGCGCCGCGGGGGGCTTCCCTCACAGAGCGGCGCGCGGGAAGGTCTCGCGCCGCCCCGGCGCGTGGCGACCTCTGGGAGCCGATAGGCGCGAGGAGGGCTCGTGCCGCCCCCCGCGCTCGGGCGATGCCTTTGAGGCGCGGGCGATGCCTGTGGGACGCGGGCGGGCGGGCGGCAGGGCGGCTCCGCTCACCTCCTGCAGGTAAGCGGCGGGGCCGTGACCCCGGAACGCGCTGCTTTTATCCTCCTGGCAGCAGTCAGCTCGGGTCAGCTCCCCTTAGGGGTCTGAGCATCCGTAGCGCTTAAAACCCTGTGAAGGATGTCACCTTCTGTCCTCTCCCACCCTCCCCCTTCTTCTCCTAAGCTCCTCTAAAGGGATCTGTGAGGCTGAACAAAGAACGCTGCCTGAGACGCGGGGGTGCCGCGGGTGTAAGCGCTTTTAATTTGCTCTTGGTGGAGGGGGGGGGGGAGGAAACGCGCGTGGCCGCTGTAACCGCAGCGGGGCGGCGGCGAACAAAGCCTCGCTGTGGAAGAGAGCGTTCTGCGGAGCGCCCTGCTCGAGCTGCTGCAGGTGGGAGCCGCGGGCGCGCAGCTCCGCGCTGCGATGTGACGAATAAACGCCGCTCGCTTCAGGTTGGTGCGTGTGTGTGTGTGTGACCCAGCTTTGGGAAAGAAGCGGCTGCGCAGCTGCTTTCTGCCTTCAGGATGCCAACCGAATTCATTTTCCGATGGAACTTTCAGGTTTCCTCTGAATAAAGATATTCTCTGACTTGGTGGTGGCATTCAGTGCGAGCTTCTTCCTGATACAAAATAGCAGGCTTTCACATAAAGGGGTTGTGCACGTAAAATCACTGATTGCGTACGTACACGTTGTTACTCCTACCAAATATTCTAAGTTCCTGCCCTCCCTTCTCGTGATCTCTCGTGTCTTTGTGGCAGTGATTCTCTCCAAGAACCGTTTGCTGTCCAGCACTTGTGCTGCTCCCCATCCAGCAAACCTGTCCCTTTTGTTTTCAGACGTGTTCTTCTTTGCAGGGTGGAAGCACGTCTCCTCTCTGTTCTGTATTTCCCCCTTCCTGCCCAGACGTTTGCTTTCCTCATGGAGCCTTTTTCTTGCCACCTGTGTGCTGCTTTATGCCTTGACTGTGGATATCAGCTCTGATGCACCCAAAAAGAGCTCAGCTGCAGGGTGTGTTTGTTTCCAATAGCTTCTCTCACTTCCCTCCCTACTGGATGACGTGATTACAGCATCTCAGCCCTTGCTGAGGAGAGGAAGAGAATGTGCAGAGAGAGCTTTACCTGATGAAAATCCCCCTGCCGTTTCTTGATGGATAACTAAGAAGTGAGAGAACGGACACCTTCCCTACTTGTGATAGAAGCTCTATGCATAGAAACTCTGTTAGCACAGAGACAGCCTGGGTCAGTTTGTGGATGGGTGTGTGTTTCTGCTGTTAATATTTTCAAAATGTGGTATGTAAAAATGGTGGGTGAGCCCCAAACTCACCTCAGTAGCACCTCAGTTTAGGAACCAGAGTTCAACGCTGTGCTTTTCATTTCACCAGCTTACAGAATGCACTTGGCAGCAGGCAGGACCCCAAATTTGGTGTGGTACCAAGTCTTGGTGCTCAGGCAGCAGCACTGCAGAGCCTTACAGGTGAGCTGAACCAACACACTGCACCCCTTGGGCTTAGCGAGGCCATTTGCAGGGCGAAAATGGAGGAAGCAAGTGAGTCCTTGTGTGGCTAGGCTCGGGAGGAGAAGTGGTGCTACTTCTCCCTCCATCCCTTTTTGTTAAGGATTCGGTTAATGGAACTTTATAATTTGTTGCACCCATGTTGTGGTTTGCCTGCGGGTGTGCAAGAGAAGCCAAAGAGCTGTCATCCTGAGAATAAAAAGTCGCTGTTCTTCTGTGGAGAATTTTAGCACACTCTGAATGCAGTTCATTGCGCTAATAATGCAGTTTGTTACATAAAGGAGCGTTTGAACCCTTGATTTAGAGATCTGATGTAATTGTTATGGTATGTTATGTCAGTACCCACTTAGCTGGGCTCTTTAAATATATTGTGACAATAAAAAAATCGTCATCATTTAATGACCCCTGAGGTCCTGCGCTGGAACGTGAGTGATTACAGTAGTCCCTAAATGAATTGCTGTGGTCTCTGGGATAAGAATTCCCTTGTTACTTGGCATTTTTCAGAAGCATACCCCTCCTTTCAGCCTGCACCATGCTGCTTTCTGTATGAGGTACTGTTTGCAAGGCCGTGTACCTGGATTCTCGAGAGGAAACGTTTGCTCTTTGTACTGACACCAGAGCTGTTTCTGGTCCCTCTCGTTATGGCCCTGTTCTTGCTGAACAGTTGTCTGAGCTCTGGAAATTGCTGGAAATATCTAAACACAGAAACGGGTGGGTGAGGCCCATTTCAGACTCTGCTGGACTATTTCAGCAGTCACCTCCAAATGTGGCATTTCATATACATGTGTTGGAGACAGGTTTGTTTTCTTAAAGGAGTGAGAAGAGGGAGAATTCAAAAAGAATTTAGCTTGTGAGGACTTGATGATAATGGATTTCAAAAAATTGCCTCTTTATTACTATAAGCTCTATAAAGTCAGAAGGCACTGACAGAACTTGTAAAGGAGATGAAGCATCTGTCAGATGTGGAATCTGATATGCCACAGTAAGACAAATGACGACCAGCTCAAGGAGGGAAAAAATAAAAGCAAGCTCTAGTAGCGCTTCTCTGGAAGTTGTGGGTCTGTCCAAAGTTGAGATCTCTTTCCCATGTAATACCAGGCACTGGCAATGAGGATACTGGGAGCTCATCTGGTGTAGCCTTTGGCTCAGCAAAGATAAAAAGCACCCTTTTATCCTGTGGCTTTATTGGGGTACTCTTAAGAGAAATTCTTTGCCTTTAGCACATTTGTGGCTAAATTGAGGCTTTATCCAGAAATGGATTAGAAGTGTTGCAGTTAACGTGCACAAGTGGGTAGCAGCCAGAAATCTGGAAAATTGCAGTGTTCTTGAGCCCTAGGGCTAGCTGGCTTCCCAAGGTACCTTCTACACTGAATTATCTGATGATCTGGGCTTTTCATGTGTGTGCTACTTCAAAGTCAATGGGTGTACTTGAAATGTGTTTCCATTTTACAGTATGTGTGGTAAAGAACTGGGACATGTTGCCCAGAGGTGCTGCGGATGTCCTGCCCCATCCCTGGAGACATTCAAGGCCAGGCTGTACGGGGCTCTGAGCACTAAATCTAGCTGCAGATGTCCCTGTTCATTGCAGGGGTGTTGGACTCGGTGGCCTTTATGGGTCCCTTCCTACTCAAGCCATTTTATGATTGTATGTGCAATTGTTCCTCAAGACCCAGAGATGGTTACTTTTGTCTGTCTGGATTTATTACATGTTTCAATACACGCTTAGTTCTTGAAAATGAATGTTAAGCATGCTTTAAAGTTAAGGCTCACAGTTTTAAACTGTTTTGCTTGGAATGGAAAATAGTTTAAATTCAGTGTCCACGGGCTTAGTTGTGGAAAACCCCTGATGATGATTGGTGGTGCTGAGGACTTCCAGAGAAGGCATGGGAGTGGGCAGTGTTCCTTGAAGTCACTAGATTACAGAGGAAACAGATGCAAGCATTGAGGGAGAGTGTAGCAGTGCTATGTTTAAATGTGCTGGTGCCTTTTCCCCCTGTTCTCCTTCACATACAGGTGTGCTTGTTAGCAGTGATTCTGTAGTGCATTTGAGTTAATAAGGAAAAACCAACAAGAGACTGATTTCCACAGGGTGGGGCAGATTTAGTGAGGCACTGATGGAAACGGGTAGTTTCCTAAGCCATCTGCCTCAGCAAAGGAAAAAGCTTTTCCTTCCAGGGTAGGGTAAATCACAGGTTGTGCTACTAAGCTGCAGAAGGATGTTTTAGAAGGACATTAAATGTGACATTTGTAATTGCTTTGTAGGTATTGGAAGAAGAGACTGATGCATCCGCGGGGTTAATTTGGATTGCTGTGACCACATGGGTTGACCGTGCTAGCTGTTAAGAAGATTTGAGGTCTTGACTGACCCATTTTACTTTAACACTAATTGTTTGCTGCTTTATTAAGGAGAAACGATGAGCTAATGCAGTTGCTCCTTATGGTTTTACACTCGCTGGTGTAGAGTAGAGCAGTCACACAGATGAAACTGATCTTTATTCTTTTATCTTGACTAGGGAGGAGAAGAAGCTGTCACAGCTGTGCCGTGTTGGTACTCAGTATCTAGTGGCTTTGTTAGGGTGCCAACTTGAAAGGAATTGTGGTGCAAATACGAGACCTGGGCAACCTTGGTGATGTAGAGATTTATCAAATCTCATTGTTTTTGGTAATTAGAGACAGGTGCTGGCTGAGTAGTCTTGACCAACATGTTCTGTTTTTGTTTTTTTTTCCCTAGCATTTTTAAACATGTTGTTTTTCTAGCTTTACGTGGTGGAGTAAGTATTTGTTTATTTTAGCACGCAGTGTCTGTCCTCCAGATGAAGTAAGCGTGCCTAGCTATATGAGGAAGGTGTGCTGATTTTGTTGTAAGCAAGAGCATGAGGTGGCGAGAATCAATAGAACCACATTGAGTTCATTGAAACCTAACTTGCACCATCGGGAAAAAGACAATTCCATTCTCAGCTCTGTTTTCTCATTATTGAAAATCTGGGATGCTTTTGCACATGAGGGGGATAATCATTTATACCAGTGAATGCTTGAGCTACAGATCTGTGGGTAGAGTTCAGCTCCACAGGCAAATTCTTTTCCTTAATTTACAAGTGGTGCCCCTGGGTGCAGGGACCTGAGGAATATTCCTTGTCTCCTGTTGGTCACACCCCCTGAGAAGGACTAGTTATTAGGAGTTTTCTGATAGGAGGTAGCGTTGTGTGCCCTAATGCAGC